AGCGGTAGAGGGCCACACCACAATCCCTTCTCCTCCACTCTCCTATCAGGATTTTAGGCACACATGCACACACACTCGCTGTGAGTTTCAAGCCACCAGGTCCGGGATTCAATCCGTAGTCAGTCATGTGGGAGGCCAGTGGCATAATCACTATGCCATCTGCTAGTCCCACTGCATGGTTACGTTTAAGCAATCATTGGCCTCCAACATGGCCAACCACAGTTCAAGTCCTGGGCCTAGTGGCTTGCTTTCTCACTCCCCCTCCCCCGCCTCTGTCTCTCTTTTGTGCACTATAACAAATTTAAAATAATAATAAAATTAAATAAAAGAATTCTTTAGAAACAGCTGCAAGAAGGGGTTTTGAAAAAAGGGAAAAAAAGATAGAGAAAGAGAAAGATGATAGAAATAAGTACACTGGGGACCAGCAGTTAGTGTAATGGCTATGTTGCTGGACTCCCACGTAGTCGACCGCGGTTCATGTCCTGGACCCGGTGGCTTAAACTCACGCTGGGCGCGTGTGTGTGCGTGCCCAAGATTTCTAGAGGAGAATGGAGGAGAAGGGATTGCGGCGTGGCCATCCCCCTGGGGGGTGATTTCTCGCTTTCTATCTCTCTGTCTCTCTCTGTCTGTCTGGCGAGCGCACGCGCCCTATAGGAAAAACCTCTCCAAAAAAAAAGAAAAAAAAAAAAAAAAAGAAAGAAGTACACTGAGCCTACACCAGATACATTTAGTCCTTCTCTGGCGTTTCCGGAAACAGTGCAGGTCATTTCCCTGAAGACTCTTGCTTGTTTTGTCAGTAACAACTGCCTAGGGCCTTTACTCATTGGACTACCCAACCCTTGGCCAGAGTGCTGCAGACTGAGTATTCAGAGAAGACAAATTATGGCTAACTGCAGCTTCTCAGACTCCACCCAGCACAGCTGAGCCTGATGCTGACGCAAGGGGGCCAGGTTACAACCAGAGCAGATACAGGGTACACGGGGAGAGAGAACATGCGTGAAAGTGAAAGGCCTGACATAAGCACCGAGGATGTTAACATCCCCCCTCTTCCCACCCTATTCCCATCTTTTGCAAACAGAGCTGCATTTGCCCTGTGGCCTTGTCATTATCTTCAGGGGTGGGAGAGCGTGGGTCTAGACGGGCCTCTTCTGTTTTCTGAAATGTAGACCAACTTTTCTGGAAAAGAGCACCCAAGATCCACTTCTGATGAAAATATTTCTTCACACTCTCTCCAAACCCATCCCCAAACAAATTGCTGATTTACTTATTTCTGTTCTTTTGTTTTTTCTTTTCCTTTCTCATCTGGGCCCTCTTACCCTTTATTTTTTAATTTCTGGTTTCATGCTCTCTCAATTTTTCCTCATACTAGTAATGATTTTCATTGTTGAATAATGTTTATGTGAAACATAAACCCATTATTTTTTTAAAAAAGAAGTCACCTTTGAAATTCAGGACAAGACAGCAAATAGTGCACAATATATCAAGTTTTAAATAACCCAGAAGACCCTCGTTGTGTGTTTGCAGACCTGATGGCTCTTGGGCCCAGAACTTCTCAGTGGTTGTTTTTATAAACTGATGTAATTCCTCTGAGGAATTGTGCCTTCAAAGGGCACAACTGGTAAAAGCTGATAAATTCAAACTAAGAATGGACCTAGATGTTGGGATTTTCATAGCTCACTTTCTTCCAAGAAACACTTACAGGATCTTCTTTCGATAGCTCCATCAGTCCCTCTGCCAGAACTTGTATCATTTCTTGGTTATTCAGGATGCTGGCCACACTCATGGCGTCAAACATGAACTGCCCTGTAAATAAACAGCCACATCCCGCATGATTGATTTATGGGAAAGATGGAATTAAATAAATAAAAGTTCAGCCCTCACATCTGCTTTATAGTGGATAAAAATGCAAAGAATAGGAATGAAAGTTTTATCATGCCATAAGGATTTCTGCTATGATAAAATACAAAGGGATTTCAAAGGTTCATTGGAAAATGGAATTAAAGTATAAACTTATTTTGGTGCAAAAAATTGAAATATATAGATAGCTTTTTCATAATACACTTTTCTAGGAACTTTTTAAAAAGACTCTCACTGTATAAAATGTGCCAAAGCAATTTACATGTGCAGCACAGATGCCAGATGGTAGCACAGTAATAAAAAGGGGTGTGAGGACGGCCCACATGGAAAGGTTCCAGGTTCGCATCCAGAGGCCTCCCTAAGTACACCAGGTACCTGTACTCATGATCAGGCTGGCTGAAGATGGGAGTGGATTGTGGTGGCAAGACCTTGCTGTGGGTATTGTCTCTGTCTCTCTTACTCATGGAAGAACCAAAAATATAAAGTTTTTTAAATAAAAAAAAAAAAAGTGCAGGACCAGCAGTGGCATGGGGTTTAAGGCATATCCAGCATGGCCAACTGTGCAGTTCAAGTTCCAGACCCAGTAGGCTTGGAAATCACTCCAGCATGTATTCGTGCATACTCAAGAACCTGAGAGGAGAATGGAGGATAAGGGATTGTGGCATGGTCATCCCCCCTGGGGTGATTTCTCACTTTCCCTCTCTCTCTTTCTCTTTGTCTCTGGTGAGCACAGGTGTCCTATAGTAAAGGTAAAAAAGAAAAAGAGAAAAAGCACAGCATATAAAAAGAACTCACCCTGGCAAAGCTACTATTGAATGAAATTTATAAATCGGACAATATGGAAAGAACATTCTAATTTAAATATTAGATTCTCAATCCAACCAAAATCCTTCCATACTCCACTTTACCTTTATGCTTAGAGACATAAATATTTTAAGTACATAGAAAATAATATACAAGCATAATAAGCACATATCTTTCAATTTTGAAAAATATTTTGCACAACATGCATTTATTGGAAAACATTTTTCCCATTCTCATTGACCACATTTATTAGTTTTTAAAAAATCCTTCTATCTTTAAAAAGTTTACTTTCCTATTTTCTCTCTAGTCCTTAATATCTATGACAGAACAGGAGAAAAATAATTTCCCTCTGCTTATAGCTTCATAGCCATTTTAAGGATTGGTTGAAGATCTTCTAAGCGTGGTAGAGCAGGTAGTGCAAAAATTCAGAAGACAAATTGCTGTTTCGAAGACGTTTTCGTAAAGAAATATAGGCTATATATTGACAGGCAAGATATCTACATGCACAGGTTTGTTACAGTTCCTGTTTAGACAGTAATCACATAAATAGGCATTAAATAAAAAGAACAGGTGAAGGGAAGAGAAAAATAGATATGTAAAATCAATATATAATGACTTGATGGATAGAGTGTTTTGGTCAAGTGCAAAATGTTAGGAGCAACTTGAAGAGGTAGCTATACATGAAAAACAAAAAACCTTTTTGCCCAGATAGTGAAAATACTTCATTTTAAAGAGGGGACTAATTTAGGTAAAGAGCCAACGCTGAGACACTAAATTGTTTCCAAAAGGTTCTGTTTTGATCATTTGATCATAGAAATGGAAGGTAAATGGAAAAATACATTCAGTTATGTCCAATAGGCTCAATAGAGAACTATGGAGCCCATCACCCAATTACATATTTGAGATAGAAAATAAATAGAACTTAATTTATGAAACAATTCCTGTAATAGGTGCTGTAGGGTAAAGGGTGCTTAACTGGGAATTGGTGCTTAACTTTTAGAACAAATTATAGTGGGAAAAGGGCACAGCTCTCTGGGTTAGCAAACAGCAAATTTTTTTTCCCAAAGTTTTTGCCATAGGACATGTGCCCTCGCCAGAGACAGACAGTGAGAGGGAAGGTGAGAAATCACCTCACAGGGAAGATGGCCATGTGACAGTCCCTTCTCTTCTGTTCTCCTCCTGGAACCCTGGGCACACACACACACACACACACACACACACACATGTGCCCAGCATAATTTTCAAGCTACCAGGTTGGAGACTTGAACCATAGTCGGCCATGTGGGAATCCAACACCTTAACCTCCACTCCACCCACAAACAGCAAATTTTGTCTGCATAAATAATTCATTGATTTGGGAATTAAGAAGATGGGAAAATTTTTGAACAAGAACATGCTTCCACATTTTAAACAGGAATACATTTGTTCTTGGTGGGTAGTAATTACATTTGAAAGGAAATATGAAAAACAAAGGGGATTAAAATTTACTGAAATTCTACTTGCTCTGTTCCTAGATTTGTATTTGCTTGAATGTGAAATGATCATCTTGACTGGCCTGAAACGGAAGCAGCGAGAGTTCTTACCTATGATTCTGCCACTTATTCTCTTCTGCAGCTCCTTGAAGAGAGGACTTAACTGCTTCCTTACTGATTTCAAGGTGTCTTCCAGGAAGTCCGTGAGGCTGGACCACGTCTGTAGCTTTGATTCACAGAAGTAGATCTCCGGGGGAGCCCTCTCTCCCTGCGGGCCCAGCCAGTCGCTAAGAACTGACATTATTTCCTCATTTAATATCACAGACTTGAGCTCAAATCAAAGTATTCTACTTTAATGTACACGAACTCTGCTATGCTTACATCACATTTAATATCTATTCTCATTCGAAGGCAGATAGTCATAGTCTGCTTGCAAAGGTAAAACTGGAAACTCAGAAAGGACTCAGTAAATTATTTTAAATGCCCCCACCCTTTCTAATTTAGTTTTTGTTATAGGGCACGTGTGCTCACCGGAGAGAAACAGCGAGAGAGAGAGGAAAAGTGAGAAACCACCTCCTCCCAAGGGCGATGGTCATGCCACAGTCCCTTCTTTTCCCTTCTCTTCTCAGAAGTTTGGGCACACATGCACATGTGTCTGGCATATTCCCCAAGCCAAGACTTGAACCATGCAATCAGCCCTGTGGGATCCAGCCTCCTCACCACCGTGTCACACTGGCTGGCTCCATGTACTCGTTGATATGTAAGGTCGGTATATTCTACTTGAAATCAAAATTGAATAGCTGCTGGATTGCTGCTGGGAAGCAGAGCCCTCATCTAAGTGAGAGCGCACACTTTATATTTTCAGCCTAAAAGTGAAAATACAAGGAAATCCCAGTTGCCCCATTGTGACATTCTAAGTCAACTCTGTTGTCACCAACCTCGTAACTTTCTTAAACTACGTCACACTGTGACCTCTTCCTACAAGTATCTTTACATGACTATTGAAGGCACGTAAGAAAGTGTCTCTCCTCAAAAATCAACCTAGGAATGAAGACTCTGGGAAAATTTCTGTATGGTAAATTTGATTTGCTGCCTGAATGTATACAGAGTTTTATTTGTTTTGTTTTCTGTTACTCTTATTGATATACATGTTCTGTGCATCTTTTCGTAACTGTCACAGATGATGTTTTTAAAACTTTGTTAACAGGGATCAGCAGGTGGCATAGAGGTTAAGGCGCTAGGTTCCCACATGGCCAACCGCAGTTTAAGTCCCAGACCTGGCAGCTGGAAAATCACCCCAGGCATGTGTGTGTGTGTGTGTGTGTGTGTGTGTGTGTGTGTGTGTGACCAAATCCCAGGAGGAGGATGGAGGAGAAAGGATTGCAGCATGGCCATCTCCCCTGGAGGGTGACTTCTCACTTTCCCTCTCTGTCTGTCTCTGGCAAGTACATGCACCCTTTGGCAAAAACAAAAACATAAACCAATAAATAAAACAAAACAAACAAAACCTCTATAACATGTTATTTTGTAAGAAAAATGTGAAGAGAGGGAAAACAAGGATGAACGGGAGGAAGAGGAGGCAGAGGAGGAGGAACAGGACAACCTGTCCCATGCTGCAAACATGGCCCCCCACCCCCCTGCTATGCTCTGCTGGCAGTTTTCTCTTTCCACCTGGCCACAGTTGCTATCCTTGGATGATGTTGCCATGTTAATTAAAACTAACAAGTGACTTCCGCTTTAAAAGTACATCAGGTCCATGTGCTTTCTATTGTATCTCCACGGGGTCTTTCCCCTTACAAGTTTCGCAACCATGCCAGCTTGGCCCAGTCCTGAAAAGCCCTTGGCATTTGAGAGCACAGTAGCAATACCATATGTAGTTTCTATGTGGCTCCAAGCTCTGCTTGATCAGAAGAGAGTGAGAGCTTGAAAGGAGTAAATGATTGGTAGCAAAATTATAGTAGCAATGCAATTCGGCTTTCTACTGGTCTGCCAATAGTACATTTTGTCCACATTTGCAGCTTTGCTACCTAAATGCAAGTTTGCTTTCAGGTGTGTTCTTTCCCTGTCACACAATGTTACCGAAATGGAACTGAAGCAAGTTCTTTTGCCATCTTTTTGAAGCTACAATTAGTGTTTTTTTTTTTTTTTTTTTTTTTAGAGGTTTTTTGCTATAGGGTGCCTGCGCTCACCAGACAGAGAGAGACAGAGAGATAGAAAGCGAGAACTCACCCCCAAGAGGGGGTGGTCACACCGTAATCCCTTCTCCGCCATTCTCCTCTTGAGATCTTGGGCACACACACGCACATGCCTGGTGTGAGTTTAAGCCACCAGGTCCAGGACTCGAACTGTGGTCGACTACGTGGGAGTCCAGCAACATAGCCATTACGCTAACTGCTGGTCCCAAGCTACGGTTAGTTTTTACAAACAAAATAATATTGATTATATGTACCAGGAAAAATTATTCTTTGAACCTTGAACCTAGTATTTCTCTAGATCAGCAACCACCTCTTTTCTTAATGTTACGGGATATGTTTTCAATAGCGTTTTCACCAATGAGGGTTTGAAGCAAAGTATAATACTTGTAACAAATAATCCCCTTCTAAACACATGACTGAGCCATGCGAAATGACATCATTTAGGAAGTGATAGCATTTCTTCAGAGAATGAATGAAAGACAGTAATGGGTATCGGCATTCTGTACTATGAACTGAACTTTGTTCTCTGGTGATCTGGATCTGCCACATGGTGTTGGGCACAGTGGTCAGCTCCCGTGTGTACTTACTGTGTTGGTAAGAGCCAGTTGCGATCCCAGTGGGGGCGGTGAAGAATGTGCCAGTTAGTTGAGACAGCTGAGAAAGAACTTGGATTCCTGCCTCTGCATAGTCAAAAATACATGCATTAGTTTACTTATACGTTTTGCCAAGGAACAGTTAAATAGTATTTAAGAGTATTAGGTGCTGACCAAGAAAGGCTACTAGCCACTGTCATTTTCAGTTTGGATCTTTCCATTGAACAGTCCATGAACATTGTATATTTACCCCTAAATACAGACACCCAGACACAATACATGAGGACTAAACAATAGGGTAGGAAAGAGGGCGTGGAGTTGAATCTACTGTGTATTTTTCAGATTTGAAATACTCAGTCCAAAGACAGAGAAAAATCTAAATATATTTTCTAAAATAGTCTGACTCAAAGTCAAAATCTCATTGTAGGAGGACAGATTTAAAACAGTTAAATACAAAATGGAATAAGATGGTCAAAATTTAGCATGGCATTAATTTCACCCCTTCTTCAATGACACAGCATACAGATAGATTGAATTATTGAATTCAACATACAGAATGAATTACTTGGAATGAAACTAATATAATGAGTAGTGTATTTAAATTCTTCGTGGTCTGAGATTAAAAATACTATTCCAGACAGCTTCAATTACTGCTTGGAATAAAATGGCAGGAGCTGAAAAGTTGGGATGTCTCTCACTGGTGCCTAGTGTTCTTACTGACAATGAAATCAGTAGAGGATTCAAAAGTGTATCTACGCTTGACTTCAATGAAAGTACAAATTAAATTCACTTAGAAAATGATAGCCTTTAAAAAGAACAGTGCTGAAAAAATAAATTTTTTTAAAAAAAGGAATCTCAATTCATACATCACATTTTATTAAAATAAATAAATAAAATGGATCACAAGCCTAAATTTCAAACTTATACTTCAAATTATTTGGAAGAAACCATAGGAAAAAAATCTTTGTGACCTTTGGCTAGGTAAAGCATTCATATATATAACACCAAAAGTGTGATCTATAAACAAAAATATTTGATACATTTGACTTAATCAAAAGTCAACACTTCTGGAGCTGGCTTCATGGCCTAGTGGTTAATGAACAGATTCCACATGGCTGACTGCAGTTCAGATCCTGGCTCCAGCAGCTTGAAAAACATTCTGGGCACAGGTGCATACCCCAAATCCTGACAGGATGGAGAAGTGGAGGAAAAGCATTGGGCATGACCATCCCCCCTCAGGGTGTGGTTGCTCCCCCTCTCTCTGAATCTCTCTCTGGTGAGCACACATGCTTTCTGACAAATTTTTTGTTAAGTCAAAACATCTGATCTTCAAAAGAAACTGTCAGAGAATAAAAATGCAAGCATAGACTAGGAGAAAATGAAAAATCATAGGTTTAAAAATAGGCAAAATATGAGCCATCAGGTGGCTTGGTGGTTAAGACACTGGACTCTCACATGGCTGACTGCAGTTCAAGTCCTGGACCCAGTAGTTTGCTTTCTCATTTTCCCTCTTTCTCTGTCCCTCTCTGGGGAGCACACATGCCTGTAGCAAACTTAAAAATAATAATTATTATTAGAAATAAAATAAATACTTTAAAAAAATAGGCAGAAATTAGGGATCAGCAGTTGGCATAGTGGCTATGTTGCTGGATTTCCATGTAGTCAACCACAGTTTGAGTCCTGGACCTGGTGGCTTAAGCTCACGCCGAGCATGTGTGCATGTATGCGCAAGATCCCGAGAGAAGAATAAAGGAGAAGGGATTGTGGTATTGCCATCCCCCCTGGGGGTGATTTCTCGCTTTCTGTCTCTTTGTCTCTCTGTCTTTCTGGTGAGCATATGCACCCTATAGCAAAAACCTCTCCCCCCCCAAAAAAGGCAAAAATTCGAATAGACACTTAGTCAAGAAGACATATGAATGGTAAATAAGTATGTGACAAGATGGTCAGCTTGATTGGCCATTAGGAAAATGCAAAGTAAACACCGTGAGACTCCTCACTTGAATGACTAACATTAAACAGACTGACCCTACTAAGTATTGAAGCTTAGTGTTGGGTAACTGGAGTTCTCATATATTTCCAGTAGACACGTAAATGGTACAACACCTTGGAAAAGAGTTTAGTTGGGTTTTTAAAAGTTAAACATGCACCTATCATATGACCTGGCCATTCTACTCTTAGACATTTAACCAAGAAAAATGAAAATACATCTTCACACATAGGTTCACAGCCGCATCTTTGCAAAAATCACTGGAAAGAACTCAAATATCTATCAACAGATGAATGAAGAAACACATTGTGTTTTATCCTTACGATGCAATAATTCCTAGCAGGAAAATGAACGAGCCACTCGCATATGCATGAAATGGATGCATCTAAAATGATCATTTTGAATGAAGGACTTCTGGCAAGAAATAGAATATATACAGTATGATTCCATTTGTAAAGTATTATAGAAAATGCAAATTAACATATAGTAAGAGAAAGCAGATCAGTGCCACAGGCTGGAGCTGGGAGAACCAGGAGAGAGATGCTTGCAAGTAGCATGAGAAGACTTTGTCAGGTGATGTTCATTTCCTTGATCATTTTAGGGTTTCACAGGCTAGATATACAGATATCAACCTTCATTCAATGGCACACTTTAAATAGGTATGGTTTATTGTATGCCAATTATACCTCAATAACCACTGTTTACAGAATTTAAATAATGCCAAGAAAAGAGATGAACCTTAGATTTTGGCACATGCAGTAATGGAGTGAAGGACAGTATTTTTACTGAGGAATGCTGGGAAAAGGGAGATTTGGTGCTGGGAGGTAATCAAGAGTTTGGGTTGGGTGTGTTGACTTTGAGATGTGTATTAAATATGCAAATTCAACATCCACATGAAGATGTTGAGTGGGAATTAGAGTCTGCAGCTCAGAGACGGAATTTAGGGTGAGAGGAGCAGATGAGGCTACCAGGGGAAGAGTGTATATGTGGAAAAGGTAAGAGTCCTGCTCAAGCTCTCGGACTTATTTAAGGGACTTGCGGACAAAGCAGAGTCGGCCAAGGAGACAAAGAGGCCATGAGGTAGGAGGAATAAAGGAGTGTTTCTAGGAGGGGTCATCTGTCTCAAATGTGTCCTAGAAGTCAAAGCAAGGTGAGATGCAGGGGCTGCTGGATTTAGGCACATGGAAGTCACTTACAGTCTTCCAAAAGCAGTTTTAGTGGAGCTAAAGAGACGCCTCAGAGGAACCTGAGGAGCAAATATCTTTTAAACAATACTTTGTATTAGGTTTCTTTTAAACCCCTTCCCATCCTTTTTGTTTTTGTCTTTTTCCCTGATAGAAGCCTGCCAAAGGCATGCTTTGCATGTATTGAATAACCGTATAAAATCTGAGGATTAAGGGGACCAGCAGTTAGCGTAATGGCTATGTCGCTGGACTCCCATGTAGTCAACCGCGGTTCGCATCCTGGACCCGGTGGCTTAAAACTCACGCCGGGCGTGTGTGCATGCGTGCCCAAGATACTGAGATGGGGAATAGAGGAAAAGGGATTGCAGCATGGTCATCCCCCCTGGGGGGTGATTTCTCGCTTTCTGTCTCTCTGTCTCTCTCTCTGTGTCTGGCAAGTGCACACACCCCACAGCACAAACATCTCCAAAAAAAAAAAAAAAAATCTGAGCATTAAGAAGAATTTTAAAACTCCAGTTCTCCCAATGAATGAATACTAAGAAACATCTTGAGAATGTTTAATTTTAAATGCCTTCTCTCCTGCTCTGCTGGGTAAAATGGTAGCTGGCGAATGCAGAGTTTTTATTTAACTGATATCTGAAGAGTGTATTTGAGTTAACCTTTCTAAAGTTTCCTTCAAGCATTGAATTCAGTTTTGAGTCATGGTGGCTGATTCTAGGTAGTCAAGTGCTTAAAATTATAATAGTGATCTTAGTGATTATCCACCTCATTCGTCTTTTTTTAAAAAAATATTACTTAATTTTATTTATTATTATTATTTTAAAAATTTTAAGTTTGCTATAGGGCACTTTAAGAGAGAGATAGGGGGGAGGAGAGAGTGAGAAAGCAAGCCGCCAGGTCTGGGACTCTAACCATGGTCAATCATTTGGGAATCCAGCATCTTAACCACCATGCCACCTGCTGGCCCCACCACACTTGTCTTTACAACACACTTCGGTGTGTGTGTGTGTGTGTGTGTGTGTGTGTGTGTGTGTGTGTGTGTGTTTCTATTATTTAAGTATTTATTTGAATTATTTAAGTACACTATTTTGACACTCACAAGCCCTGAGAGCCAGGTAAGTTTCTGTTACCCTGAACTTGATCACCGAGCTCATGCTCATCCCAGGTTCTGAACACAGTGAGGGGGTTTCCTCATACTGACTGGTAATGGTCTCTACGCTGGTCAGGCTCCTTGCCCTGCCTCATGGAGGCTGATTTTATTGTGTTTTCCAAAAAGAATATAAATGATGCTGTTGGATCTTGTCACCAGTGAATTTATCTCTGCAGATCACCATCTCTGACCCCTACTTCCCCCTCCCCCCTCCGCCCCAGATACTTGGGGATGCAACACATAAAGAGAAAAAGAAAATAAGATATGATTGAATCACTTGACCTTAAGGCATTTCACAAATTCCCAAAACATCCCCATCCAGTGGGCATGGCCACTGTCTTTCTGCAGTCTTCAAAGCTGACCTGATGCTCCAAGCGGCAGGAAGAAGTCCATATGACCCCCTTCTTCTTTTGTGGCCACGTGGCTTCCTAATTTCTCCCAGAAGTCTCTCACTTCAGGACTCAGTAAATTTTTAATGCCAATGTTATAGCCTGAGGAAAAAGTCAGAATGCTATATTAGCTGGTAATGTTATCATGAACGGAAACTCTCAATAATTTGTGAAAATGCAACCGCAAATTCAAAAGGCTGCTGCTTGTAAAACCAAGACCTCTAGGGTGCCTCTGCTTCACGTGGTACAGAGGCTAGGGTCACAGAAGGTGCCGTGGGACACCGCCAAGGCCAGTCTCCTTTACAGTCTAGATTAGTTAGACACTGCGTGCTGTGGTTAGGACACTGTGCTGCTGCCTCCCTGTGCAGCGTGGTGAGGAGCCAAGCTCTGGCAGGGTTCAGGGTGATGGCCAGTCAAGTCCTGGGATTTTGTAACCATGTTCCAAAGTAGAAATGTTTCCCACAACTGTCAATCAAAAAATTAGAAGTTCATGGTGGATGTTGTGGCCTATGTTTGATACCAGCTATTTGGGAGGCTGGCACAGGGTGATGTAAGTTCAAAGCCAGCCTGGGCAACATAGCAAGACCTATCTCTGTCTCAAAAAAAAAAAAAAAAGAGACCAGCAGTTAGAGTAATGGCTATGTCGCTGGACTCCCATGTAGTTGACCACGGTTCGTGTCCCAGACCCGATGGCTTATAACACACGCCGGGGCGCATGTGCTTGCATGCCCAAGATCCCGAGAGGAGAATGGAGGAGAAGGGATTGCAGCATGGCCATCCTCCCTGGGGGGTGATTTCTCGCCTTCTGTCTCTCTGTCTCTCTCTGCCTGGTGAGCGCACGCGCCCTATAGCAAAAACCTCTCTCAAAAAAAAACAACAGTAATTTGGAGTAGGGCCAGTGGGTGATGTGGTGGTTAAGGCACTAGATCCCTCATGATTGAGTTGGTAGTTTGAGAAACATGCTGGGCACATGTGCATGCATGCCCAAAATCCCAGGAGCAGAGTGGAGAAGGGATTGCAGCATGGCCATTCACACTGGGAGGTGATTTCTCACTTTGCCTCTTTCTCTGTGTCTCTCTAGGTGAACAAATGTGCCTTATGTCAAAAATCTTAAGAAAAAGACAGTGATGCTCTCAGAGATGTAAACATCAGTGAAACTCTCCTTTATTTATTTATTTTTCCTTCACTTCCTGGGAATTCTATGTGATGATTCCACAAAACTTTATGTGTCTGGGCCCTTTTCTAAAGGAGTCTTAGAGACTGCAAATAAGCTGCGGTCGTGCAATGAAAATAGTCAGGAACAAGAACCCTGAGGTTTCACCCCCTCACACTGAGAGGTGTACAGGAAAGATTTTGTAAACACGTTCCATGTTCTTGAGATGGTGGAGTAAGAACTTTGTTTTGGTGTTGTTGTTAAGTTTGTTTACTAAGTAATTTATTCGTTCATTCCATGAGAGAGTCAGAGGGAGCAAAAGAGAAAGAGAGACCCACAAGGTCTTCACACCATCGCCCACCCCCAGTTCCAGCTGACCTGGATCATGGGTGTGCATTCACAACTTCAGTATACTCAGGAAGGGTCCAGGGTGTGACCCCAAGACCTTTCTATATGGGCCCAGTTTTTACTGTAGGGCACATGTGCTCATCAGACACAGAGAGGGAAGTGAGAAATCAGCCCCCAGTGGGTATGGCCACACTGCAGTCTCTTCTCCTCCATGCTCCTCTTGGGATTTTAGGCACACACACATATGTGCCTGGCATGCTTTTCAAGCCCAGGACACAAATCCTGCCATTGGCCATGTGGGTTCCAGGACCTGCTCTATCTTCAGATCTGAGATGTTTTTGATGGGTACAGTTTCAGTTTTGCAAAGTGGATATGCTTAACAGTATGCTTAACGATGTGAATATGCTTACAGTACTGAGCTGTACACGTAAAAATGGTTAAGATGGTAGATTTTATTTGACATGTTTTCTCATTACAATTTTTAAAAAATGATCATTGGGACCAGCAGTTGGTGTAATGGCTATGTTGCTAGATGCCTATGTACTCAACCACAGATCGAGTCCCAGACCCGGTGGCTTAAACTCACAGCGTGCGCATGTGTGCTTGCCCAAGATCCCAAGAGGAGAATGGAGGAGAAGGGATTGCGGCGTGGCCATCTCCCTGGGGGGTGATTTCTTGCTTTCTGTCTCTCTGTCTTTCTCTGTCTTTCTGGTGAGCGCACGCACCCTATAGCAAAAACCTCTCAAAAAAAAAAAAAAAAGATCATCTACAGAAAATTGCCTCACTTTTTTCATAAAGCCAAAATCAAATTAGCATATTAGAAATTAAATAGTGCTTGAAGTGCAAGCCCGTGGACAAATGCTGCCTAAGTACAAAGTTGCTGGATTGTTCTTAGACAATCCCCAGCCCTACCTTGGAGCAAGTTGATCTGTCTGCTGTCTCCATCACTAAATATCCCCATACTCTGGGCCTTCTGCCCAGCCAGAGCTTTTTCCACGAGATAAAGCAGGCTCTCCAAGGTTAGGCCACTGTGTTCATACACCACAGCAATGACGTTTGCCTTCACGCTGTCCACCACCATCTAGAAAACAAAACCACAGCTGTAGGAATCAAAGCCCACTATTAGTGGAAGAAATGTATGCAATATGTAACATGCTGTAATTTCTCTTATAATTGTCAGACGGGGCATGTGCTTGCCAGAAGGAGAGAGAGAGGGCAGGAGAAAGTGTTCCCCAGAGGGGCTGGTCACACTACAGTCCCTTCTCCTCCATTTCTCCATGTGATCTGGATTTGGGGCATTCACATGTGCCTAGTGTGTTTTTCAAGCCAGAGTCAAACTGTGGCTGGCCATGTAAGACCCAGTTCCCTTAACTACTAGGCTACAGGGCTGGCCCTGCTGTAATTTTTAAGGATTTTCTTTCTTTATTTCTTTTTTAAAGAAATTATGAAAGGAAGAAGATAAACTTCCTCCTTTACTGGTTTCTTTCTATATATTTAGAAAGATAGATAGATGTAGATATATAGAATATGCACTCACCAGAGAGAGAGAGAAAGAGAGAGGGAGAAGGAGAGGGAGAGGGAGAGGGAGAGAGAGAGAGAGATCCCCTCCCAAGATAGGATGTTCATGCAGTAATCTCTTCTCCTCTCCTTTCAGGATTTGGGGCATGCACATACATGCATCCAATGTGATTTTCAAGCAGCTGGGCCTAGGACTTGAACTATGGAATCAGCCATGTGGGTTACAGTCACCTTGATAACCATGCTACCAGTTGACCCCCTCACTGTTTTTTTATTTTATTTTAAAACATTTTTTTCCAGTTATAAGAGGAGAAAATTAAATAGACTTCTAACTCCACCACTCAGAGACAAATATTAAAAGTTTAAATTATTTTCTTCTAATCTTTTTCTCTTTGTACATACTAGGTTGAGAGATGTATATACACTTTTAAAAATTCGAGATGTATAACTTTGCAATAAGCTTCTTACATAGTTTTTTAAAATTATTTTTATTTAACTTTATTTACTTATTCATTTGTTTATTTCAATTTGACCAGAGAGGGACAGAGAGGGAGAGCGAGAGCAAGAGCGAGAGCAAGAAAGAGAGAGAGAAAGTGAGAAAGCAAGCCGCCAGGTCCAAGACTCACCAAGACTCAACCCACCGTCAGCCATGTGGGAATTCAGCACCCTTAACCACCACACCACCTGCCGGCTCCAAACTTCTTACATAGATTTAAAGTATGTCTCTTACACATTTTTTAATCATAAATATTGATCAATATTTCCCATTTTAATATATATAAAAACCACTTTTTTTTTAAAGGTTTTTGTCATAGGGTGTGGTGCTCACTGAGGAGAGACAGAGAGAGGGAAATGAGAAATCACCCCACAGGGTCAATGGCCATGCCACAATCCCTTCTCCTCTATTCTTCTCTCAGTATTTTGGGGCATACATGCACATGCATGATTTTCTTTTCTTTTTTTGAAGAGATTTTTGCTATAGGGCACTTGCGCTTGCCAGAAAGACAGAGAGAGACAGAGAGACAGAAAGTGAGAAATCGCCCCCCAGGGGGGATGGCCATGCTGCAGTCCCTTCTCCTCCTTTCTCTTCTCGGGATCTTGGGCATGCACGCACACACGCCCGGCGAAGCCACTGGGTCCAGGACTCAAACTGCATTCAACTTCATGGGAGTCCAGTGACATAGCCATTATGCTAACTGCTGGTCCCACACATGCGTGATTTTCAAGCCACTGAGTCTAGGACTCAAATTATGTGAGAGTCCAGCACCTTAACCACCACACCACATACTGGACCCCAAAACCATCTCCCTTTGATTTCAAACACCAAGTAAACTTTTCATTATGATAAAGTTAATGAATAGCAGCAGGCAGATTGAGAAGTCAGTGAAGTTGTTGATTTTTTCCAGAATCTCATGCCACTTTTTAGAGGTCACAGGTCAACTGAATCAAGAACTACTGTATGGTATGTCCTACTTTTTACCTAAATCCCCATCATGGTCACAATCAAGTAAGTAACTATGCCATGGTCTAATATGAAAAAGACAATAAGGGAGTGGCCCTAACCAGTTGATTCAGCCATATTCCATCTCCACTCATCCTCTGTACCCAGCACGATGTATTTTTAAACATTAGGGGGGAACCAGCAGTTGGTGTAATGGCTATGTCTCTGGACTCCCATGTAGTCAATTGCGGTTCGAGTCCTGGACCCGGTGGCTTTAACTCACGCTGGGTGCGTGTGCGTGCGTGCCCCAGATCCCGAGAGGAGACTGGAAGAAAAGGGACTGGCGTGGTCATCCCCCCGGGGGGTGATTTCTCACTTTCTGTCTGTCTGTCTCTCTCTCTGTCTTTCTGGTGAGCACACATGCCATACAGCAAAAAAATCTCAAAAAAAAAATTAAACATTAGGGGAACTATGTGGCCCACATGGCAATCAAAGTTCTGAACTGGCTTTCATGCGGGTTCACTGAGCTCACAGTTGTCCATGATCACGGTCAGTTCCTAAACACCCAGAAGGAGAAGTGCTTCCCATCTTAAAGCAGCCATTTGTTACAAATAGGAACCTTTTAAAGATTTTGTCGTCTACTTTCCTCTGTGGATGTATTAATACATACATGCATGCATAGGTATAAGGGCACTTTGAATACTTTATGCAACAACCAAATTAAAGTCTGAGTTTATTTTGGTGCCAAAATTTTTGCGGACCATACCTGGTTTTTTCATAATACACATTTTTAATGAACTTTTTGAGGATATATATATATATATATATATATCAC